ATTTATATAAGTAGGTATAAGGAAGAAAGATTGGTAGAAATAACCTAAAATATTTTGTAGTTATTATCTCTAGGTAAATGAAATAATGTGTGAATTTTTTCCTTCTGTATACTCTTCTGAGTCTTTTGAACGTACAAGATAAAAATATGCTACTTTTAATTTTTTTTTTTTGCATATCTCCAGGAATTTTTATGTTCTATTTTGAATTAACATAAGAGTACATATGATTAGGTTATGTTGTTTGTGTTTGTAAGGTTAAAATCTGAGTTGTAATTGAGTCCTTCACCTAGGAAATATGCCCTACACCTCTACATGATACTTGATAGGCAGGAGCTTAGCAACACCTCTCCTTCCATTCTTGAATTTAATTGTGTTTTTCTCTGGTGTGTATCTATAGTTGTTCATACTTTTAATTTTTTTAGAGAGAGGGTCATGCTATTGCCCAGAATGAAATGCAGCGGTGCTATCACAGCTAATTGCAACTTCAAACTCCTGGGCTCAAGCAATGTTTCTACCTCAGCCTCCTAAATAACTGGTGTTTGCCACCATGCCTCGTTAATTTTTTTTTTTTTCTTTCTAAATTTTGTGTAGACATAGGGTCTCACCATGTTGCCCAGGCTGATCTCAAACTCCTGGCCTCAAGCAATTTTCCCTCCCTCTCAGCCTTCAAAAGTGTTGGGATAATAATCGAGAACCACTGTGCCTGGTCACATAAGTGTTACCTTCAGATTAGTTTTCAAAGTTTTACTCTAAAGTAAAAGTTTACTATAAATTTACTTATAGTTTGAGTTTACTCAAAGTTTACTACAAGCAGGTCTTGCAGTTAAATTACAAATTTATTTTAGGCAATACTATTTAAAAATCTATTAGCTTTCCATATTCTGCTCTTTTCTTTTAGAGCTATGAAAAATAAGATGATAGGCTTGGCGCCTGTGGCTCAAGTGGCTAAGGTGCCAGCCACATACACCTAAGGTAGCAGGTTCGAATCCAGCCTGGGCCCACCAAACAACAATGACGGCTGCAACCAAAAAATAGCCAGGCATTGTAGTGGGCACCTGTGGTCCCAGCTACTTGGGAGGTGGAGGCAGGAGACCCACTTGAGCCCAGGAGTTGGAGGTTGCTGTGAGCTGTGATGCCACGGCACTCTACCCAGGGGGACAGCTTGAAGCTTTGTCTCAAAATAAATAAATAAATAATAAGATGATATTAAAATTAAATACTGGCTCCAAGAGGTAAAACAATAGCAGAAGATACTAAGATAAGATACACTCTAAACTGTAATAACATCATTAAACTGTAATAGTGGCTGGAATGAGACAGGACTGAAAGCTAACATAGCCTGAGTGGTACATCAGAGCATAAACCAGGAGTGAAGAACCAGTAAGCCTGAATGCTATTCCTAGTTCTGCCACTGTGTTAGTTTCGTAGCCCTCTTTGAACTGTGGAATGCCATCTGTAAAATGGAGACAAATCTTTCTCTTGGGTTATTGTGAACACTGAATGATACAGGAGCAGGAAAAGCATTTTAGTACTATGCGTGGCATAAAGGCTCAACAAATGCTCACTATGCTTAACATTCGGGTCTGAGTACCACAATTTAACATATGCATTGTGACCAAGTGGATTATATCCAGGAAGGCAATGGAGATGAAAAGAGACCCAAAAATAAAACCATCTGAAAAAATGGTTGAAGCAACTATCCAGGTGAACATGGACTCAGAGAGTAAAGGAGATAGGATGACTCAACATCTAATAATCTCAACACGGAAGCAGATTTATTGATTTAGTTAGTTAGCAGATTGATTTATTTGTTTTTAGGAAAACAAAGCTTTACAAATTAAAGAGAGTCAGATTTTCAGCACTCTGTAAGAAAGAACATGTTCAAAAGATACTGAAAGGTACTCAGATTAGGGTGACCAGATTTTAACATTGGTAAAGTGGGACAACATGGCCAAGGGGCGGGGTGGGGCGGGGCAGGACAGGGCCTGATAACAATGCAAACTTTGATAAGCAGTTCTCGATAATCACTTCTCAACAATTATTTGTTATTATTACAGTTTAACATCATAAAATTAACAGAAATAATATAAAACTCATATCCTGGCGAAAGAGCCACATCGCAGCCATATATTCCCTTCCTGTTCTCCCAACCGTTCATGCATTCTTTCCAAAAATTGGGACTTTTTTAAAACGCTGTGGGATGCAGGACAAATTGTTCAAAAGCGGGACGTCTGGTCACCCTAACTCAGATCCATTTGAGCATTCAAAGTGCTCAAAGGAAAATAAAACAAAAATCAAGAAATATTACAGAGATCTTCCTAAGGACAGTAAGGGTACTAGAAATACTCTTCCCATTATTCTGTTCTTCATCAAAAACTCCTAGACAGTAGCCTGATACTGATAAAATTAAAATTATCTTTTTCTGTAAATCACATTAGATTAAGAAAAGTCTTTTAATATTATTAGGTTTCCCATTACTAAGAGTACTTGGATTTCCCATGTTTCATGGAGGGTAACTGTTTAAGAACAATGGATACTTCTAGGTCAAAATTAAACTGCTTCTTTATAATATAAGCTCTGAGTATCTTAAATATACTAACAGAATTTTAATATACAAGAGGAAGATAGAGAATACACATTGTCTCTCACACTGAGGTGGTACTGGAAACCTGGTAACAACTATTTTAATATTTCAAAACATAATTTGGAAAATTCTAATCAAAGCTTAACAGTTGTATGCTTGGCTCAGTGCCTGTGGCTCAAGCGGCTAAGGCGCCAGCCACATACACCTAAGGTGGTGGGTTCGAATCCCCAGCCCGGGCCCACCAAATAACAATGATGGCTGCAACCAAAAAA